ACAATGTCACTCAATGAATACAGAATTTTTAAACACGTGTGAAACAAATTAATAGTAATAAAATTTCATGTACCTGTTTCTTCATTGATAGCAAATTTTCCATCTCCATTTCCCTGTATTATTTCATATCTGACTACATTATTTGGTGGTTCGGAATCTCTGTCAACTGCCTTTACAAATGCTGCCGATGTGAAATTATTCAGACTGGGCGACAGCACAAACTCGTAAAGCGACCTCTCAAATTCTGGTGGGTTATCATTAACATCTAGTAACTTAATAATTAATGGCACTGTTACTCTTAAACCTACTCCATCATTATCTCTAGCCTCTACTAAGAAATGCAGATCTGGCATCGCTTCGCGGTCGAAGCCATGATTGTTTGTGGCGACAGTTATGACTCCCGATAAAGGATCCAAGTGAAGGGAAGTGTTGAGGTATCCTAATATGGCAGTGAACTGTATTTTGCCAAAAGCGCCGGTATCGACGTCGTCTGCTGCGACTTGGACGACTTTAGTACCAGCTGTGACGTTCTCTGGCAGTTCAACGTCATATGATTGAGCCAGAAAGATTGGCGGGTTATCATTGACATCATTCAGATATACTGTCACGTTTGCTGTCGCTGACAGGTTTGTAGCTGGACCAAGCTCTTGAGCTAGAATCTAAAAGGAAAATATTGTTCTAAGTGATGTTTTTGCATTAATTCTTCATCAATACTCTAGAGTCTATAGCACTTGTATACATTTGTAACTGATTAAATCAAATTACTTACCTGAAATATAACAGACTTCCTAGCTTCAAAATCGAGCATGGTGTTATCTCGCACTTTGATGATGAATTGCGCGTGTCTCTCTGCGACGGTTGGCGAGATCTCGAAAGTTCCATTGTTACCCACCAGCGAGAGAGAAAACACACCATTTTTGCCAGCGTCGTTGTCGTTTACTTGTGGTATGTACGGATCGCTGAACGTCAGCGCTGTGCCTTGAGGAGCGTTCTCGTCTAAGTATGTGATGTAGCTGAAAATCAGAAAGAATGATAAAGTTAATTTGGTTTTATACGTTCTACCTATCTATGGTTTTTATAGTTATAAGTATTATTATACTTATTGACTGTCTTGCAAGTTGTAAAAACTGTTTTAAGCTTATTTTTATGGGGTTCAACATTGAAATGACTTTGCACAACACTCAGATCATTGTGACTCTGTATTAGTACCCGTGACATAATGTGAAGCACATAAAGACTGTTCACAATAACCAGTAACATGTAGATTAGTATTAAGAAAACCACTTACAACTGATTCTCAAAGTACGGCGGTGAGTTTTCTCGTTCAGGCAGTATGAAGGCGAGCTGTACAGTTGAGGACATGGCTTCGGGTTCCTCTCGGGACAGCCTCACCTCCTCAGCTACTACTGTGAGGAGTATTGGGGCACCAGCGTGGGAGATCGCTGCTATCTCCTCGATAGGTCGCTCTAAGGTCACCTCCCCTGGAAAATAAAAAGAAAAAGCTAAATGATAGTTTATCAAAGTTAGGTGGCCTTTTTTTATAAGAAACCACAAAAAATTAAATCTTATCACTTTAAAATTTTTTGTCGCAGTCGCAAATATTTAATTAGTCTACAAAAGTAAGCACGATGTTTCTTTTAAACTATCTGTAGTAAAAACCAACCGAAATCCAAGTGTTACTTTTAATTTTGTTTTTAGCTTCTTTATACCTGCCACCACCCTACTAAAAGTAGAACTAAAAACAAATAATTTCTGACCATATTAACTTTGAACAACAACATATACTGTTTTAATTTCATAAAAAAAATGAAAAAATATCAAAAAAATATAAATAAGGTTAAATACGATTTTTGTTAAAATACTTAGGATAGAAAAAAGTTATTTGCCGAAATCATATTTATTACAATGCCATCTGTGAAATGAATGTGTAACCACTTCCTTTCAATCCGTGACGTAAATACACTCTAAACAGCTTTACGTTTACCAGCTTGTGTAGTACACGTATAAAAGTACAGATGGCGTACGCGTAGCCATTTTTATTTTTTTTTGTTATACATATATTGTAATTTGGAAAGACTAGGACTATTATAATAAAAACAAAATAGGATATTCTTAATAATACCAAAACTTTAGTTATTTCTGTATCAAAAATATTTGATACAATACTTTGTATTGTATTGTACTACAAGTTAACTTCGACATAATTTTAAACCCGTAAACAACGACAACAACAAATTCACAGGTATGCGAAAATAAAAACAATAAACGAGTAAGCATTCCGGCGAAAAGTTCGTTCAATGTATGTCCCTTTTAATGAAATTCTTTACCAGTATTATGAGAAAAGTTCGGAGTCAGCCTTTAGACGGCAAACATTGAACTCCGGTGACATTTCTTTGAAAAATAATGAATAACCATGAACGCTTTTTAATATGGACATGATAATATGACACATTCAAATGTGCAAGAACTTGCTTCCATTCATAGCAGCCTGGTACCTCTTTCATTATGCCAAGTAGGTGTTTAAGAAAAAAGTCGTGAAAGACGATTACCATACAAAAGTGGTGCATCCACTCTTAATATTAAAGTGCTAAGATCGTCATCTGTCGGCGATGACAAGGCAAATGAGGGCTCATTAATTATTTACTAGTAACGCTTGAATGGACCGAATAAATTATTGCTGAGGTAGTAGATAAATATTATGTGCATATTCGTGTCTGCTAGGAACACAAAGCTTGTTATTATAATCTGAGTAAGCATCGAGACATTGAATGATTCATGATAGATCAATTTCCAGATGAAAGAATAAAGTACTGCTGTTAAAAGATGTATTAACATTTTATAATTTTCTTAATAATAACAAACAACCGAAAGCAGTGAGAAATTAAAACAAATTTGACATACTGCATTAATAATATGAATAATCAATTTAAATTGTTGACCAAAAAATCAATTAAGAGTTCGTAAGGCGCTTAAGATTAAAACGTGCAGTGTAGTCGCATTTATTTTGTCACATTTAAATGAAAAAGCTTGCATTGAACACCAACGCGGTATTATAGCGGTCGAGTGGCTCAACTAATGAACCGAATTGATTGCCTCTTTTATTCATTTCTCTATCGCTTATTTAATGGCGAAGATTAACCTTTATGCTTAGGCATTATTCATTCATTGTGCCTTTAATAACAATTAAATTATTAGAAAACTTTTCCTATTAATCTTAAGAGAGAAATATGTTATTGGAATTTGAAGATGGAAATAGTTGATAGAAAAACAAGGAACAATAGTGGGGCTAGATAGGATGTCAGTAAGATATTTAAGGAAGCAAATAATGTTAAAAAAGCAATGAGTAATGTGATAAACAGTCTTAACAACGACTGCATGCAAGAATATTCAAATGAAACGAAAATAGCACCTACTTTATTTACCGGAATCACAATAAAGTTTATGGGCGGGTTAATACAATACGACCATTTGTATATACCTATCAACATATAGCACCAGACTCAGAATATTCTTACTAACTTCGAAATTGCTTCAACCAAATCGGATCCCGATAACCATTCATATGTTCGTAAGGTGTGGTCTGATTAATGCGACAAATTCTCAAACATGACAGCTCTTCCAATATTCCGATAAGTTTTAACGGTTCTTAAGGGGCAAGTTTGCGGAGGCGAGCATAGTTTTCGAGCTGATAATGTCAGAGCAAGTCGGGATTGTATTGTCAGCTACTACGTAGGTACTGGGACGCTATTCAAAGGAAGTGCCTTTATTATGAAGTAAGGTAGGGCAGCTTTACAAACAATGGATGGCGAGGCGAGAGCGCGACCGGTAAGGTCTAATGAGCCATTATGTGCTTGTTCAGCAGAATGCAAGGTTGCATTAAAAGCCCTGTTAGCATTTTCGAAGTCCGTCGTGTTCGTAGTTTTGTTAGCAAACAAATACGCATTGTTAAGTGTTGTCAGTGCGACCACCGCCACGCACTCAACATCAACTTATGGCATTGTTAGGGGAATTTAGATGTAAGGCTGAACTTTAGATATAGTTGTACGAGGAAACTTGGTGCCAAGTTTGCTCCCGAATGGCAACTACCTGTGACAATTGTTGGGCTTTATGCTAAATATTATGCTAAGCAGGTGGCAGACGTCTAGTGGCTGTTACGTTTGTTACTGTTTGTTTACCGTTTGACGACCCAGCAGTATATTATGTTCCAAAACTAAAATTGAGAAAATATGATCGCGGCAATTAATTCTCCCCAAAACCAAGCAGTTATCATCAGTGTCTATAATTGTTTAGCTTAACTAACAAACTTTAGCTATCAATTTTGATGGCGTAAAATGGAAGTTGGAAGAAAATGAGCGCAAACTAAATCTGATTGTGTTATAGAAGCAAAGTGGGTCACGCAAGGTTACGAGTAATAGTTTTGTAGCAAGTGGGCCATAAGGGGTGGGTGTCGACCAACGATAAGGAAGTAGGATATCCTACGGAAGCCGGACGCTCGACAGACGTTCCGATGTTATCAAGAAAGAAAAAATGTATGAAAAACCTCGCTGACCTACTGTAGACAATAAAAACTACATTCTAGAAGTCTTGGTAACTAAGTTAGTAACATAATCAAGGCCAAATGCTGAGGTGAAGTGGGCTACAGAACGTTGAATCGTGGTTTACTTTTCTTTCACGACCTCTTTTGGCGACAATAAAATTAAAGTTGGTGCCGATAAATTCTCTATTTGTGACTATTTTTGTACACTTTTCGTTGTGATTTATTTTGAGAAACTGTTACTAAATATAGTTTTACTCCATGAGTTTAGTAGCCGTGCTATTCATTTCTATACACTGTGCAAAGTACAACAGTGTTTTATTTTATAAACTATTTGTTCAAAAGCTTACTGGCTAAGCTACGAATTAAGAATTCTCTCTACAAGTACCTTGACCAGTAAATAAATATTAATGTTAAATTATCACGAGGGAAAATGCTGCATTTTGTTATCCAGATAACCCTGATTTCAATTTAAATCTAAATGAAAGTAATACAATATTTAAGAGCTTTATTAATAGAAGGTTTAACGGAATCTTTGAGTTTCATTGTTAAAATATTTTGAGATAAAACGCCGGAAATATTAAAGATTTTATTTATTTATTAATTAAGAAAAGCTTTTACTGAGTTGTTTATGAGAATCGGAAACAAAATGCGTATGTAAATTATCCTCTATAATTTTATTACAAGTAGGTAGTAATTAAAAACGATGATAGTTTCAACTTTATGAGTATTTAAGTAATATGAATGTCCATTGTTTTACTTAAAAGTATTATTAAATGTGAGAGATTTTTATAATGAAACAAATAAATTAACTAAATGGTTCATTTGCATTTATGTTGTTCTCTCATAGATTAAATTAAATTTGTTATGGTATGCAATGAAATAGATTTTGTTAATTTATTTAGTACATTTTCAATTCGATATCTATGCAATTAGAGTTTTTATTATTGTAATTACTAAGCAAATGTAATTACTATTGGGATAGCCAAATATTTGATTTTTACAATTCTCAATATCCAAAAGCAGAAATCAGTTAATTGTCATGTCAATTTAAAATCTTTGAAAGAAGATAATTTTACATTAAAACTGCACTTACCAGTAGTTTCATTGATGTTGAAGAAGGGCGTAAACGGATTTCCTTCAGACACTAGTCCATATCTGATCTGTCTGGGAGCTCCTTTGTCCCCATCTTCAGCCCTAACCCTGACCACCATGTCTCCTGGTGCCACCTGACGAGGGAGGTGGGTGATTGGAGGGGCAGAGGTGAACACTGGTGGCATGTCCTGTACATCTTGAACGACCACTACCACTTCCAGGCCAGCTATGTTTCGCGTATCCTTGCCTATTTCTATGTAGGGATCCTGGAATTAATATTAAGTGGTTTATTCATTTTGAAGGTCTCCTATTGCTTGTTAATTGTAATGGGTATATCTTAAATTACAATTTCTCTATGCCAATCGGTAGCTTTCATCCGAGTACGGTCTTTTGGTTACTTTAGTTCTTGAGATCATTTATTTTGTACGCTGTATAAATCGAAGCAATGATCCATCATTAACAATATACATATGTTGATATGCTAAACATTCAGTATCGATCATAAAAAATATTGAGCACATATACAACTTCGGACTTCCTAAAAACGTATGATATTACCAATGCCATTGTAACGGGTTTTTACCAATTACCTTTTTTATTAAAAATACAGAAATTTTGAGGGACTATTCAACATGAAAGCCACACAAGAATTTTCAATCCAATATTTACAAAATGGTAATGTTAAGATCCCTCCAACTATTTATATGACACCGCTCAAGGAACATAACAATTTTAGTGCAAACACTTCGCCTTTATGAAGTCTTCAATATTGTCACTAGACAACTAAACGGCTTTTATCCAGTATTATTCTTGGCGTATAAATCTTTTAATCCCCTCGTAAGAACACCCACGAGCTTCAGGTTCTATTCTGAGCTCGACCACACTATGAAGGGGCTCGGTAAGTATTATTTTATTGGGCTAGTACTTTTAATCGATAAATGTGCACTCCTACGCAACTGATCCTGGTCTCTAGACTATCTACGGCTCAATAAATACAGTTTGTGAATGTTCTAGAGAATGTGTTCATGTTGGTTAGATGTCGAGAGAAATTAATAACCAGACGAAAGAAATTATTCTATACATGTGATTTTAAGTGAGATTTTTCACGGCATAATATGCTTTAAGTTAACTTCGACTGGTATAGGATGCGTACAGCTAGTTGAGTGCCTACCTTATCTAGATATAGTGTGTTTGTTCTACGTTAATATAACCGACATATTTAAATTCGGCGATCTGATTGGTCTGGTCTAGGTTAACCAACCAATCACAGGGCTTAAACGGGGCTGAAACGACCCAACCAGTGCGGGAGAAGTCACTTGATAATTTTACTCTAGCAAAAAATATACATATAAAGTCCATGCCATACAAATTCTAGCTAGTGCTAAAACAATCGAATCTACTTTTTTGTTACACTGTTGTTATAAAAAAAGTTGATCTTTCGTTTTGTTTTCAAAGTTTTAAAAAAGGTTCTACTGATTATTAGGAAACAATAACTGTGATTGAATTAAATTCGAATTATTGTGGATTCTAAAACAGTAATTCTGTAAGTTCTACAAATGTTTGAAGACGTTATTACTGAAGACAACGAGAAAGTATTTGCAAGCGATTTATATATTTAAAAAAAGAATATTATCAAGATAAATAAAAAAAACTTATTTAATAAAAGAAACAAAATATTATATATTTATAAAAACATAAGAGAGAAGAAGAGGTTATATAGGGGATAGGTATGCAAGTATTAAAGACTCAATGAAGTGTTAACGATTGTCATCTTTAAGCCTTTGAGGAACTTATTAACTCCACATGAATATTAAAACGACTTTTATAACTGTATTGGAACTCGTTTAATTATAGTAATAGTCTTCAAATTATGATTTTAAGCTTTAGGTAAGCTAAATTCAGAATGTAATATTATATTTTTGAGTATAGCAATTGTGTTTTACAAATTTAACTGTAGGAAATTGTAATTTTTATACATAAATATTTATAAGCGTTCTATTACATTATTACATACATTTTGTATTCGTTAAATCAATTTTGTACAAGTTCATTAGTTTTTTTTATTAAATTCATCAACCCCCAAGCGAACGCAGGCGTTCGTGAACCCATTGTTTTTCTATTGTGTCTCGAATTACCAAGATTGAAAGGCCATCGTACTAATGGCCTATAATGGTGAAAGAGGACACCGGTGTCCGCTTGGGGATTAGTAGAGTTTGAGTTTCGACTTCTCGTTTTACTTTAATTTTATTAGTACCTCCGCTTCGTCTTATAATTTTCTTTTATGCGCAATTAGATCCGAATTCAGATTGATAATATTTAAACCACTTTACCTTAAAATAGTATCCTAATTAAAACTCACAGCACAGCTGCACATACATCAGTTAATGTAACACAAGCCACAAAATCCATTGCACTTGTTTTGGCGTAATTAATTACAGTTTAAATGGTGATCATTAGTTGGAATACTAGATTGGCTTGATCTCGTGAGTAACATTGAATAATTAACCCTAATTAGAAGGGAACAGGGTACATTTGAATAAACGCGTTACTTACCACGGCTAGTAGTGTCAAATGGTACATAGATTGGGCTTCGAAGTCAAGAGGTCCAACTAGGAATATGGTTCCTTCAGTGTTCTCGGCTGATACGCGACGTTGCCGGATAGCGAAGAGCGGTGACCCCTGTGAAAATAAAAAAAGATAAGTAGGGTATTACAGAAAGGAGTTCCCAAAGTAAGAACATTGATAGCAATTATTGATCTCTTATAGAAGAAGATTTTTATGCAACAAAATAACAAACAACAGTAAATGCTGCTAAATATGTTTTGAAAGGACTCATAAATATTGTAAAACGTGATCCGAGTGTAGGTAATACCAACTATCACATTACTGATAAAGATGATATTCAAACCATATTCAACAAGACATTCCAAATCCCTTCTAAACTCATAACAATATCATTTCCCACAGCTTACTTAGCGACGACTATGTGCCTATTATCAAAATAAGGGTCGGTACCGATACAATAAATTCTACACTCCCAATGGACGTTACCCGGCCCACAACAGACTAAAATTATTCTACATGTAAGGACACGATCTCCATTATTATAGCATTTAAGCCTATAAAACGACCTCGAATGGTGCTAGCCATTCTCCGGCTCTGTGAGAATTTTAACACGCCTTGCTCTTAATGTCCGGTAATTGCATCCCGTCCGATGGTCCATCGCGAAATGCGAACAACCACAATGCACTTATTAAGAAGCAACCTAATGTGATCCCATTCCAGAAATAACATATTCATATCAACCAGATCAATTTTATCGAGTGTCTTAACAATCAGTTCTGCTTCGATGATGAATAGATCTGATTCTGTTTCAAAAATTGAGGCACAAATCGCTTTAAGAGCATTATGTTGTTACTTTGCAAATTGAGAAGTAAGAAGGCTTTCGCCTTATTATTTTTTTTCTGCTTTCAACGCGTTTTTTGTTGTTACAATTATCATTTTGAAATGGTAGTCTACTGGATACGCAATTATAATTGTAACGAAAATTAGAATTTCGCACGGTCATGAAGCTGTTGAGACCTGATTTCGGATTCAGAAAGTGAACAATACATATTACGTGATCTTACGTGGCTTTGTGATTTCTTCCGTACCGTAATTTTGAATTTGATTGCCTATTCAAATTTGTGGGAGTCGATTCCTGTATGTAACGTTAGGTTCCGACCACATAAAAGCGTAAATGAGTTTCGCAAAGGTGTATCCCGCGTCAGCCATAACGCCGTGAAAATGATCCCTATTAGCGTGCGAGCGAAACTTCATTATGTGGTTACAACGAAATGCGTGTCAAACACGACGCTGGCATAAAATATCATTAGCTAACCTCTAATCATTGTAGTCTCACATCGTGTACCTACTCTTCAAAGAATCAAATACTCACCCAAAGTTCGAGTTCCAAAGGCTTCGGTGACACAGGGTTTTTTCTTGCAATCACTATCTCAAGATCTGTTCCGCGTTTGGCATCCTGTTGAAGTGACACATATGAAAAATGTAAAACGAAATGCAACATTAATTCGATGCATTACAAGGACGTATTTAGAGTAATGTTAATGCCCTAGTACTGGCAGACGTGCTTTGTGTCACTATGCACATACGTCATCATCATCATCAATCACTCCCGTCACACGGCACGCTTCTCGTCGCCTCATTTGTTCTCCACTACACCGACAGGTGCTTTTTCCATGTAAATCTGCTATTATAACTGGACTATGCAAATGAACATCTTTATACCCGACACTTTTAATGTAAGTACTTTCACTGCGCGGCTTTTGCATTTGCAATAAACTACCATCAGGTGTCATTTGAAGTGATAAAACTCTAATACTTTAAACTTTGCAACCTCTCTTTAGCGAAATTGGTTTTGAACAGTAATTTTCGATTAGATGTGCATTCACTTTTACTCAGGGCAGTATAAAATGTTTAGGGTTAGTAATATAAAATCTGTAAGTAAGAAGCGTAATTGCAGTATTTCAATTATCAACTTTAAGAGGTTTACCCCAAGTATATGCCGCGTTGTTGCTTTCAAAGGTAAGCATATGATTACCTACCGTATGTTTTGTGTTATTAAGTTTGAAATTCAGAAAATATTTTGCTCCTTTCAAGTTCATTTGCACTCGCAACCTTTTCTATGTCGATGTATAAAATAATTAACGTGTGTATTTAAAGTTTGAACGTACCTCAGGCACCAGAATAATGCCAGGTTGGTGCGGAAAAATGGTGTCCCTGGGCGTTGTAGCATTAGTCCCTGTTACAGAACATGCGATCCGGGAGCTTCGCCCCCTGGTATTGCGTACTGATAGCCTGAAGTCTACGTAGCGACCAGGTTCTAATCGCCTCAGCAGAATGATGTTAGCTTGGCACACTGAGTTGTAGCGAGTGCAAGGAAGTGTTTCCACGCCAATGTCTAGGCGACCCATCTGACCTGAATAAACAAAGCAAAGAAAAATTAAACCAGGATTTGCTTCCTAATAAAGTATTCGAAGCTAGAGAACAATAATAGAGGGCGACAGAATGATATTGATGGTAATTGATAAACAATTATACATATGCTTGTTTGTGTGCAAAAAAAAATATATGTTTGTTGCTTAACCTTTTCATATAAGACAAAGTTGAATGAAAAAAAAAGAGAATTACTTGAATGAAAAGAATAAAGGGCTATGTTGTCTCGTTAAAAACAAGTATTTTCTGGAGCAAAAATTGTTTGGATAACTTTCTGCAAATCAATGACAAATTATCTTCTCGAGTATCCTGGCTAATGGAATGCAATAACGCTTTGTTTTCTCCCGAACCTCGCAATATTGGGTTACTTCCAGTTTTCGTTGGGTATCGAGTTTTCTTCAGTTAACTTTATATAGGTATTTTCAAACAATTCCAGCCGTATCTAGTTTATTTTTTATAGGATGTGTTTCTTGGCATGTTTATTATCGCCTATAGAATACAATACAATTTCCTTTAATATATACTCGTAAATAGATAAAAATTAAATCTTCGGTGTACGTATTTGGAATTGATTAGGTTTATCATTTTATCTTTGTCATCAATCGTTAGTATTTGATCCAATTTATCAAATGAATATTGAATGTTAACTAGACAAATAATTTAATTTCTTATTAAATTTTAAGCTTTAAAACAACTTACCGATAAGTTCGAAATGCAGTGGATAATCGAAGTCGGGGTCGGAGGCGCGGACGCGGTAGATGACGGAGCCAACGGGGACGTCTGCCGGGACGAGGACCAGTCGCATCAGGGTGCTGGGGTCAAACACCGGCTCGCCGGCGCGCACGCCGACCGCCCACCACACCACCACCAGCGCCAAGGCGAAGGTCATCCTGCAAGTAAAGAGGTTCGTGAGAAACTTGTTTTATTGAATACTATCCGCTTGTTTCTACCTGCGTAGTAAAATAAACCCTATGTGTTAATCCAAAAACTCAATCGGGTGAATCATTCATGATAATTATTCACCATTTCCTAAGGATGGAATCGGCTTTGTCTACGTAGTATCTTGATAAAACTTAAGGTCTCTTGTACATATATACCAAATTTCAACCCCGGTGCAGCCTTTTTTGTGTGACAGCATATCAAACATTATATCTATACATTCTCACAAACTTACACATTTATAATATAAGTAGGATATGTGTAAACATGTATATAAGTATAGCAATACATGTGAAATGACCGAAAGAAAATCACGAAATAATAATGCTTTGTTTGGAGTTTTTATCGATTTTTGTCTGTTTTCTTAGGAAACAAATATATGTAGTAGAAACAATAATTTGTTAATATTGAAGAAACGATCTCGTTGTTTAATTAACAGATAAATTTTAGTATTAAGTGATTCAAACGCAATTAGTTTTGGTACGGTGTCACTATTCTTCGATTGAATGGTAAGAAATCAAAAAATATTTTCTATAGATAGTATTTACCATGGGATCTTTTGCAACTGCCCGCTCTAGTATTTCTCGTAAACCATAATCGATAAGGAAATACTAGAGTCTATGAATAGAAAATGATGTATGGCCTTGAAATATATACTTAAAGTAACAGTTACTACCAATGTTGTTATGATTATTATTGTATTATTTTCAGAGAGAATATTATTAAGAATTTGATGATTAGTAAAGCCTACCTATTAATTTTGCTTCAAACTGTACCTGAATGAACATAGAAGCCATTTAATATTGATCCTACATATTCACCAAGTTGAATCATAGAAGCAACTTCAAACAACAGTGACAAGTTCGCAAACAAGGTTTAGCCGCGACCCACTTCATAAGCATAACTCAGTAAATCATATTCCAAATAGCTGAAATCAAAAGTTAGGTCCGCCACCACCCGTACGATTAGGTCGGGAGCGAGCGCAGCCGGCATTAAATTATAAATTGGCCGTATCTCCGTGATATTCTTGGCATCAGCTTCGACCGCAGACCTAAGCAAGCCTTGCGAAAGGGAAATTCGAGTTATGAAATCATACCGCCGCTTCTGTGCCGACCAGGAAGTAACCGCTCTTTATGGCTCGCCCGTAATAACTCGTTTGGGGATGCTATCAACTCAATTTTATTTTAATTTCATACGCAACCTGCGCTCCTAATCTCGGATCAGCTTTGTCAGACCAAACAGCTACAATTAAGTCGTGGTTGTAACTCATTCCTTTATTAAAAAACTATATTTACTTATTATTATGCTAACCTAAATTTATCGTTCCCAATACGTTAATAGATACCTGTTATTTCTTTAAGTAAGTACTCGAAAACATAAACGAAATAGTCGGTGTCAGTTTTCTTGTATTCCTTGAACTGTGGCATAACTATTTTAAAACAAAATCCAGCCTGCAAACTAAAGTAAACCCATTCTCGTGTTGTCTGTTAGTGTGTTATCTACTGCGCTGCAGTTGTGTAAGTAACACCAACAACGAACAAGTTCACTGGCACGTTAACATGGAACATGTCTAACTTCGAAACTTTCGGATAAACATTTTGCGAAGAAATAATGCGGACGAAATTGATATGTATCGGGTTTCTGTTTCGACGAACGTTTTCAAGATTTTACTGTATTGGTAATTCATTTAAATGGTGTTTGAAGAACGTCGCACTAAAGGCATTGGCGCGGTATGCGAGGGCTATTAATAATATTGTCCCAACGTCTGAGAGGCAATTATTCAACAGTAAAAGTTATTGCCAGTCAGTAGGGAGGCTTGTGTTCTAGAGGTGGATCTTAAAGACGAATGTGTACGCAAAGGCTCTCGGAGTTTGATTTAGCGCAGGCAAGTTTCTGTGTGCTCTGCATCACATCGGTGTTTCCTTGTGGCGCCGCGACCAAGGTGAAATATTTGTCTGACGTGAACGCCCGCCGCCTGCGACACTAAATCTTGTCGCGTGCTCAACCCGGACTGTGAACTACACTATGTATATCTAGCTCTAGATATCGACAACATTTTGATACACACCCCAATGTTGTAACACTATCCATAAAACTACAATTTCCTCTATAGCTGTAAGCAATACTTAATTGTAACTTTCTGAACAATAATAATAAAGTCTATTGAATATACGCTATCTCCCAACGCCAATTAAAGTCATTTCGGGCAGACGGAGAGCTATTACCACGACATTACCGTCGTGGTGGCCCGAAGGTTAAGGAGCCCGTTTCTCGTGCATGAGGGTGTGGGTTCGAAACCTGGCAAGTACCAATGTGACTTTTTCCGAGTTATATGTACTTTCTATGATTATTTAGACACCACTGACATACGGTGAAGGTAAACATCGTGAGGAAACCTGGACTTATAATTTCTAATTGTAAGTTTGAAATCGCCAACCCGCATTGAGCAAGCGTGGTGATTAATGCTCAAACCTTCTCCATGTGAGAAGAGGCCATTGCTCAGCAGTGGGCATTTATAGGCTGATGATGATGATGATGATGATGGAGAGCTATTACTGCCATTCGATCATTCGGGAAAGCGCAGGAACGCAATTAAGGTATCATTATCTGTGAGTCCATGCGAACCGAGAATTTACCTTTAAATCATCTGACAGTCCGTTTATCCTTGACATTAATATGAGCTTTATGGTATGGTAATGTGCTCTCTCGGGAATACGGCCGTGTTCTCTTGGATCGACTCAAACATTTAGGTGTAAACCTCAAAACAGACAACTGGCTTTGTAACAACAATCTATTTATAGGGACAACATTCCCATAAAAAGTTATAGGCGTGAAGTACACCAGAAATGGTAACGAGTACTGCGATCGTAGTGGAATATCATTTGTCATTATTATTTATGAGTGTTTTCGTTTTGAAGTGGGAAGTAGCGGTCGGGCGGTCCTGCGGCTTTAGTCCCTAACAGCGGGAGATATGCGGCAAAAATGGAAGGCGCACGACGTCGTCCGAACGGGCAGGGTCCGACCGGAGGCCGACCCCGACGCAGCGCGTAATAGAGAGTTGTTCCCTTTTGGTCACGGTCCCCATTACCATAACACCGAGTGTGTGAGGAGCGGACGTGAGCCTCGCGCCGACAGATAGCCTCGCGGTCTGCTTATTATAAATTCTAATATACGATCTCGTAATAACGTAACATTATGTGCTGGCGATCGATTTGTGAAGATATCGGGTCATGGTTCCTTCGCCTGCAGCTATTTGAAATTTTCACTCAAGTTTTATTGCTAATTTACGATCTCTAAAAAGACACGTGTTATACCAATGTAGTGGAATAAACCTGGTGAATTGTCCATGGTGTAAATAATACCGAGGGATCAATTTACCAAACTGAAATCGTAGGAAGTCAGACGTTCACCGGAGGGATTATCGACCTAATCCTATATTGGGAGGTGTTAGCTAAATCCGAGATTAACATAATGTGATCTTATGAGGTTTTTGTGCTGCGTCACTTCTTTTTAAATACTTTTTTATTTGTATTGGGGTTAGAGGTTTAGTTCACAACATGGCCCCGGTCAAAGACCGTGGGCATCGATGTTATTGATTTATATTTCACTTCAGTCAATTAGGCAAATAAGCCATTTACGGTTACGTTTACCATTTTACCGGTGTAACTCGTGTATTACTACATATTTACTTAACATTGTAGTAATATCTCATCAACTATCATGAACACGATTTTTGGTTTTCATTTTCAAGTAAGTAAGTATAATACGAGTAGAATATTATTATTTCCAATCATTGCAGAATTGCCAAAACAAGTATACAAACTTACAAGTCACCTATAGGGAAATAATGAGTTCATTTTCTCGATAGTTCCATGAAGATGTTAACCAAGATAAGGTCAGTTAATATAGATTAAAAGTAACAGCGAATGCAGTCTAGGAGCTTGGGGAACTTATTAAACTTTATTAATGTCGTGCAGTTAATCATGACCCCCATTTAAGGGGGTATCGCTGCGCGGTAAATCTGGACAAAAACGTAATTTTATAGCGAGAATCACGCTAACTGACCCCCATGACCCCATTAGAAGTATAGTGGAAGTTTGTTCGCTTATACACAAGTATCGATATACATAATACTATACTTGAAAGACGGGTAAAAAATTTAAAACTTAAACAATAATAATTTGAGAAGAAGTTGGTCACATGAAAAAAAGTAGAGAGTAGCCTATCTTTATTCCCTTTAAAAATAAATAAATGTTCGCTCTTATAAAACTAGAAAATATACATGAAACTATTGAGACAATTAATACGGTGCAAAGCTCGTCGCAGAGTTGTTGTAGTACTACTACAAACCATTTTCGTTTCCTAGGTTTTTATTAGTAAATGTTAATATTACAAAACACAACGTAGACTTTATGACGTGACCTATTTCGTATTTGCTTGGAAGTAGTATTATTCAACAATTGACTAACAAATTAGTTGAAGGAATGAAGCCGAGCGTCGCGACGTGGACGTTTGAAGACTACGCGGATTTATGCGTTTCCAACGGACTTTAGTAGGTAAACTGTGATGGATTGGTCCAAAGTTTAACTTTTGTTTCCTTCACTGGTAACATAAATTATTGCCAAAAGTGATTTGTTCTCTATTATCTACAAGTCCGTGAGTTCATTTTCAAATTGGCGCTTTTCCCATGACTTCTCTTTGTTACTGGGTTGTCCTAGATATACCTATTAAGTATATAAAATTTGCTTTTTTAGAATAACAAAAGAAGCTGCCAATACAGACGTGATAAATTTTATATTACCATCTGGATCCAGGTTATTCCAAATGGTAAATCTAGAAGTCGTAAGACGGAGACATTATATTCTACGTTGAACGTAATCTGGCTGTAATGATGGTGATGATTCTGATGATGATGTGAATTATATTATTAATCATCTTAGTCGACTAAAAA